ACTGTTGTCTTGCGACTCCCACTTATGCTACACCTCTCATGATTCTTCACAAAGTCAGACTAGAGTCAAGCTCAACAGGGTCTTCTTTCCCCGCTAAATTTGCCAAGCCCGTTCCCTTGGCTGTGGTTTCGCTAGATAGTAGATAGGGACAGTGGGAATCTCGTTGATCCATTCGTGCGCGTCGGTAGTTAGCCGACGAGGCATTTGGCTACCTTAAGAGAGTCATAGTTACTCCCGCCGTTTACCCGCGCTTAATCAAGTTTCCTTGGCTTAACATTCAGAGCACTGGGCAGAAATCAGACACGGTCAACGTCCTGCAAGGACCATCCGTCTCCTCTGTTTTAATTAGACAGTCGGATTCCCGGAGTTCGTGCCAGTTCTAAACTGGTTGTTCAGCGCCAATCGAAGTACTAAATCTTGCGAAATAGCACGCAGCTGAAGCGCTCCACAAGCAGTCCTCACTACTAGTCCACAAGCGCCGCCCCGAAAGGAAGCGCAAGCAGCCACGAGCAAAGTCCACCTGTTTCACACAACAGCCCGACTGACCCAACCTTTAGAGCCAATTCTTTTCCCGAAGTTACGAATCTAATTTGCCGACTTCCCTTACCTACATTATTCTATCGACTAGAGGCTGTTCACCTTGGAGACCTGCTGCGGATATGGGTACGATCAGGCAGGAGATTTTAAATTGCCTCCCTCGCATTTTCACGGCTCATGTGGAGCACACGGGACACAACAGGAACCGCTGCGCTTTACAAGACCAGCATCCCTATCTCAGGCTGAGCCACTTCCAGGGACATGATCTCTAAACCAGAAAAGAGAACTCTGGCCCGGACTCCACACGAGGTCTACGAGTTCGTTTGCGTCACCGCGCAAAGTAATCCTTGCGGATCACCATCTCCCATGCCTGGTGTGGGAATATTAACCCACTTCCCTTTCGGCAACCGGGTGGACAAAATACCGTTAAGTATCTCATCTCCCCGCAGTGTCTAGACGGCTTTAGCCGGTGCCTTAGGATCGACTGACCCACATTCAACTGCTGTTCACGTGGAACCCTTCTCCACTTCAGTCTTCAAGGATCTCACTTAAATATTTGCTACTACCACCAAGATCTGCACTAGTGAAAGCTCCAGCTGGGTGCACACCCAAAGCCTTCAACGCAACCACTACGACCCTCTTACACGTCATTGCAAGACTCAAAAATACAAGCATATGACGGCAGAGTATAGGTGGCCCGCTCCAGCGCCATCCATTTTCAGGGCTAGTTGATTCGGCAGGTGAGTTGTTACACACTCCTTAGCGGATTCCGACTTCCATGGCCACCGTCCTGCTGTCTGTATCAACCAACACCTTTTATGGGGTCTAATGAGCGGGCACTTTGGCACCGCAACTCCGCGTTTGGTTCATCCCACATCGCCAGTTCTGCTTACCAAAAATGGCCCACTTGGAGCTCGTATTCAACGCCAAAGTTCAAAATCAAGCAACTTTGACATCATACCCATTTAGAGTTTGAGAATAGGTTAAGAACATTTCGTTCCCAAGTCCTCTAATCATTCGCTTTACCGAGTATAACTACTCGTGAGCTCCAGCTATCCTGGGGGAAACTTCAGAGGGAACCAGCTACTAGATGGTTCGATTAGTCTTTCGCCCCTATACCCAAGTCAGACGATCGATTTGCACGTCAGAACCGCTTCGGACTTCCACCAGAGTTTCCTCTGGCTTCGTCCTGCTCAGGAATAGTTCACCATCTTTCGGGTCTCACCGCGTACGCTCTTCCGCCACCCTACTGTAAACAGTTAGAATGGGGCTATGCTGCACTTTTTTACAAGATCGCACATCAGACTCTAAAGAGCCATTTACTTTCATTTCGCTTTTAGGTTTTTAACACCCAAAAACTTGCGCACACGATAAACTCCTTGGTCCGTGTTTCAAGACGGGTCGGATAGATGACCGGCTTTTACATGGGGAGAGAGTACGAGAGCATTAACTGGACCGAACTAATTGAAAAGCACGTGTCGCATGCGACCGTAACTCACACTCAGATCGAACCAATAAATGCCCGTAAGCCATACTCAAATGTCCAAGACAAAAAATGCTAACACCGTTTGGGTACCAGCAAGCTGGCCTCAAAACGGCGGTTACAAATCTGCCTCAAACATCCCCAAGCACCAAACAAGTAAATGCATCACAGAAAATTATGCTGCTTCCCTCTGTCCCAATCTGGAGCTCAGAGATCACAACATAAAAATAATGTAAATGAATACTTGAAAGATACGCCGACTCTATCCGTTTCCACCTCACCGGTTTCACGTCCTCTTTAACTCTCTCTTCAAAGTGCTTTGCAACTTTCCTTCACAGTACTTGTTTGCTATCGGTCTCGTGGCAATATTGAGTCTTAGATGAAGTTTACCACCGACTTTGGGCTGCGATCCCAAACAACCCGACTCTAAAGCACGTAAATATCAATCAATTATCTCAATGTACAGGACTTGCACCTTCTGTGGAACCCCTGTCAAGGGGACTTGTTTGAGACAAAAGATCAAAGATTACGGCTTATACGCTACACCTCATAATGCCTGAGGCAAAATGATTTAGCGATGGACATTTCCCTATTCACTCGCCGTTACTGGGGGAATCCTGTTTAGTTTCTTTTCCTCCGCTTACTGATATGCTTAAGTTCAGCGGGTGCTCTCGACTGAGTTCAGGTCAAAAATGTTTTATTGTTGGTGATATATTCGTAAACAATAAGACAACCAACAATCATTTTAAAATATAAAGCATTAGAAGCAATGTATATTAAAAGCTTTCGCTTTAAAAGAAAATGACCCTGAACCAGACATAGCAGAGGGTTTGACCCCAATGCCGAAATATACGTTCAAAACTTTTGTGCTCAAGGTTTCTGCAGTTCGCACAAATTATCGCAGTTTGCTGCGTTCTTCATCGATCCACGAGCCGAGTGATCCACCGATAAGGCTAGAAATTTTTATTTTTTTAAAATATAGAGAAAAAAAGAGTGCTGGCGTCCTCACTTAAGAGGCTCATTAAGTCTTAAACTCATTAAAGAGTCCTAACATGTCACCACATATACAGCCACGGACGTTCACAACTGTATCAGCAACACCTAGACACCAGCGACAGCCGTTTCACAACGATTATTTCATTGCGAATTCAAATTTGAACATCACATAAAGTAATGATCCAGCAGCAGGTTCACCTACAGCTACCTTGTTACGACTTTTGCCCGGTTCAAGCCACTGCGATTAAATTGGTTTCCATCAAAGTAATTTAAAAAAATTAAATCAACGGTCCCCAAATTTCTCGAAATGGCTCAGTCCCGGGCAGCGACGGGCGGTGTGTACAAAGGGCAGGGACGTAATCAACGCGAGCTGATGACTCGCACTTACTTGGAATTCCTCGTTCACGGAAAATAATTGCAATTTCCGATCCCAATCACGGCAAATTTTCAATGGTTTACCCGCCCCTTTCGGGGTAGGACAAGCACGTTGATTTTGCCAGTGTAGCGCGCGTGCAGCCCCGGACATCTAAGGGCATCACAGACCTGTTATTGCTCAATTTCTTTCGGCTGAACACCGCAAATCCCTCTAAGAAGCTGTATACACTAAGAGTATGTACCAGCTATTTAGTAGGTTAGAGTCTCGCTCGTTATCGGAATAAACCAGACAAATCACTCCACGAACTAAGAACGGCCATGCACCACCATCCACTGAATCATGAAAAAGCTATCAATCTGTCAATCCTCACAGTGTCCGGGCCGGGTGAGTTTCCCCGTGTTGAGTCAAATTAAGCCGCAGGCTCCACTCCTGGTGGTGCCCTTCCGTCAATTCCTTTAAGTTTCAGCTTTGCAACCATACTTCCCCCGGAACCGGAAGACTTTCGTTTCCGGGAAGCTCCCCACCAAGGCAATATAATTTCCATCGGCGGATCGCTAGTTGGCATCGTTTACGGTCAGAACTAGGGCGGTATCTGATCGCCTTCGAACCTCTGACTTTCGTTCTTGATTAATGAAGACATTCTTGGCAAATGCTTTCGCTGTAGTTTGTCTGGCCACGGTCCAAGAATTTCACCTCTCACGGGGCCATACAAATGCCCCCGTTTGTCTCTGTTAACCATTATCTCAGTCCGTAAAACCAATAAAACTGAACCGAAATCGTTTTCTATTATTCCATGCACGATCATTCAAGCGAAAACGCCTGTTTGAAGCACTCTGATTTGTTCAAAGTAAACTTGCAATGCCTGTTAAGAATCCTGTTAAGGACTCAAAACCGAACATTACGATAAATCGATAACACCCAGAAACACCCGGAGGGTTCCAGGGTACCGATACGAATCCAACTACGAGCTTTTTAACCGCAGCAATAATTCTATGTATTAGCAGAGCTGGAATTACCGCGGCTGCTGGCACCAGACTTGCCCTCTGCTTGATACTCGTTAAAGGGTTTAAATTGTACCCATTCCGATGACCGGCCTCAAAGAGAACGATCTCGTTATTTCTCGTCACTACCTCCTCGAGCCGAGAGTGGGTAATTTGCGCGCCTGCTGCCATCCTTAGACGTAGTGGCCATTTCTCAGGCCCCTTCTCCGGAGTCGAACCCTGATCCTCCGTTATCCGTCACCACCACGGGAGTCGATTATGCTCCCGTCAAGTTGATAAAGTGGACGCTTGAAAGACACGCCGCCGGCACAAGGCCATGCGGTCAGCTTAGTTATTCTGAGTCAACAAGAAGCAGCCGAAGCCGCGTGGTTTTGTTCTAATAAATGCGCTTTTCCGAGAGGACAAAGCTTTGGTGCATGTATTAGCTCTAGCTTTTCCACAGTTATCCATTTAGATAATCAAGATCAAGTAAATCATGGCCATTGTAATGAGCCGTTCGCGGTTTCTCGTTAAAACGATTAAACTTATACATGCATGGCTTAATCTTTGAAATGAACACATCAGTTCAGGCAGGATCAACCAGATATCTTGTAAATTCAGGTAAAATTCACTCACGAAATCTGAATTCTATAAATTTTACCCAGAAAAGCGTTAAGCTGCACGATAACACTCGAGCATCGTCGGCGCCAGAACGACACACGAGGCGAGACAGATTTGGTCTCACAACCAATCTCCGGTCACTTGCTGGCTTTACGAAACACTTAAAAGTGTGCATCGAACCGACCGATTGCTGTTCTTGCCAATTCAGCAATGAATTGGCATAAAATTCAGATCCTTCGACGAGGACGCTTCGTCTCAACACAAAATCTCAACTTTTTACTTCACCAATCAGCCAAAAGGCTACATTTAGTCTCACATTTTTCTCTTTCATCGAGATTCAACCGTTAAGCATTTTTCAACTAGGAATTTTGTCAAATCCCATTCATGTTAATATATTACTGCAAAGCTGCCCCCAGGTCACCACGAAATCCGCGAGATTTGAATCGTCTGGCTGTCCATGACCAAGCTTATCCGTTAAACATCCGCAGCGCCTTTTGAAATCATTACAAATCGATTTAAAACGGTTGAAAATAGAAGTACAGTTGAGTCTGCAGATTGTAGCATAAACGTGTTGATTGGACGATTAGAATTTTCATAAGAAGGCACCAAGAAGCCCGGAAGGACTTGAGATCTGCTAAGTCGAGAATTATTTATTTTCCTATGCATTCTTCTTTTCCATTTCCTCAGCAAACAACCACTTTTCTAATAATATGAGTTGAGGCGAAAAGAGAAATGGACCAAATGCAACCCCAAGCTATGCGCCATCATGAGAAAAATAAATGGAAAGAGAATTAAGCAAGAGAAAGCAAAAAGTGGTCGTAGAATTGGTAAAAGTGGCTGTTTATATAGTAAAAGTGTTTGCTTTAATAGTAGTTATTTAGTAGTAGCTAAATAACTACCCTTTGAGCAGAGTAGCTTTGACAGTAATATTAAAAACAACACCGAAGCCGAAGAAACTTTAAATTTTCACTACGCAATTTTGGTCTTTCTCAATGTATTTTAAACAAAAATTTAATTCCTCAATCGACAATGCTAAATCGGCTCGCCGAACAGACCACTAAGATGCCCACCCCGCATTAAATATGCCCTCTCCGCAGAAATCCGGGCCTCACCAATTACAGAGATGTTCCAACACTGGCTCTGAGTCATATTTGGCAATGATTATCCCGTGGCAGCCTGGGTAAGTTTATAACAAAAACGGCATTGTCTTGGAACACCTCTCTCAGCCCGAGTAACCACCTAGAGGAACAGTTGTTCGAAATTTAGTCATTCCATAGTGTTCAACCCAAGTCACAGCTCAACCCATGTCATTTTCAATGAAAAGAATGACGGATAGACGGATAGTCCCCAAAAAAGTAGAAATTTGTTCCAGCCCAAGTAAAGATAAGTTAACTCCGATTCCCTTAACCACTAAAACCTATAAAATGTTTCGGGTAATGTTTCAGAAAAAATCAAAAATTCAAATATTTACCCTAATTTAAATTAAAGATTACAGCTCTGCTAATGTGGAACAGCCCGGGTAATTCCAGCTTTTAAAAGTATTTTCCTAATTTGCCCTATGTTATTCTCTTATTTGCCCTATGTTTTTCTCTTATGATTATTAAATTTGTTCTCTTTTTCATAAATTCTAAATCAACCCCGCGGAACAAACCTTTCACGCTCACTTTGTACAAATTTCCCTTTATTTTACTTCCCTCTACTCAAGAAACCCACCCGCCCACTTTCTCTTTGTTTTTTGTGTCTGCTTTTTTTCTTTGCCTTTTTAAATTCTTCACACCTCGTACATTCTTTTCTCTCCACGGTAAGACAATATGAAGCAAGCAGAGAAGAAAAAATAAATAGTGCATTTTTTCTCTTCAGTATATTCAACACCCCCAAAGACAAACTTTGATTAACTATAACTCGACCTAAGGGCATTTTTAAATAAAACGGATATAACTTCGCAATAGGAAGTGGTCCTCTATCGAATGGTAAGGTACATAAAAACCAAGAACATAAAAAAGTGACCATTCCTTGCTGAGTTATAGAGTCCAGATTGAATGAGGTGCTCCGTGGAAACCCACGAAAAAAATTCATTGTATAACGTTAACAGATTAATGAGAATTTTAATAATTTTATTAAAAATAATATAAAATATATTTAAAAATAAATTTAACAAAATTCTATTAATTTGTTTTCTGCCTTATTTGCCAATTGTTTTCTAAGTGAAAATGGTGAAAATTGAGAAGGAGGTAAAAATCCTTGTGGAGATGGAGGGGGTGGTGGAGGAGGAAGAGGCCCTCCTGGTGGAAATACTTCTACACAAAATGGAGGTAGGCATGCTGGGGGTGGTGCTGCTGATATTGGTGGAGGTGGAAGCATTGGAGGTGGAGGGAGACATTGACAAAGCATCTAAAAAGGATTTTGTCATTTAGAATTAGGATACCGTACGTTAAACTGAGGTTTATTTAGCATAAGCTGTATCTTATACCATGGCCGGACTATATATCGAAAAAATACCTGTGCAGGCATAGGTTGAAGTTGTGGCGGAGGTATTGGTGGAGGAAGCAGTTGTGGAGGTGGACAAGGCGGACAGATGGGTGGCGGAGGAGGAGGCGGCATAAACATTAATGGTGCCGCAGAAGAAAGAAGCGGCGTTATCAGCCTCACTGTTAATGGAGGTATTGCAAGAAAAGGTGGTGGAGGTCCACCCATTGGCATTGGAGGAGGCGGAGGTGGTAGAAGAGTAGGCATTGGTGGTGGAGGCGGAGGTGGAAGTGATGGCGGAAGAGGAGGTCCGGGCATTTCAAGTGGAGGAGGGGGTGGTGGAGGTGGAGACATTTGTGGCATAGTTCCCGGAAATGGAGTTGGTGGAGGTGGTGGTGGAAGTATTGTCTGAAATGAAGGGAGAAATTGAGAGAATTTTCTAAAAAATTAACCAAGTCTGCCAAAAAAGGCACGCCTGGAGGCGGTAGTGTAGGCAAACAAGGACCTCCTGGAAGAGGAGCTGACATCATTGGACTTCTGGACAGCAAAATAGCCTTAAAAACTTGGAAAATAAAATATATTTGTTCGTTAAAGAGACCATCATTGGAGGCATCGGCGGAGGTAATGGTGGCGGCATCGGCTGAGGAAAATCAGCAGCAATTGGCGGTGGTGGTAAAATCGGTGGAGGAGGAGTGCAAATCATTGGAGGTGCCATTGCCACAGGCGGAGGAGGTATGGGAGGTGGAGGTGGCGGGACTGAAGGGAAAAATGATGGCTGAGATGAAGCAACCACGGTGACCTTAATTTTGGCTTTGAAAATTTTTTAAATTTATTTTACCGTTGTAGGTGGAAAAACGGGAAAATCAGGAGGAGGGGGCAATCCGCCAGGACCCATAGGTAAGCTATTTCTGCCAGAATTGAGCAAATTTTCAATTAAAGGGGAATATGAAGTAGCCGGCCACTGAAAATAAAATGGGAAAATGGCGGTGTATATGAGGGAGACTTACAGCTGCAAGTTCAGCTTTTGTAGAAGATTGAAGAAAAAGAAGTAACAATCTGAAAAAAAATTTTTTTGAGATTATTTAATAATAAGAATAGAAGGAATGGATTACGGACTTTGCGGAAACTTATTGTGATTTTCCGGAATCAATTACGCAGTCCGAAAAATATATATTTATTAAAGAATTTCCGGAAGTAAAAACCTTCCGTATATATAAATATCACAAAGTTTCCGCAATTCTATTAAAAATATTCCGGAACATTTTCAACTTTCCGAAAGTATTTATAGTTTCCGGAAAAGCTTCCTATACGTTATATTATTAAATAGTTTCCAGAAAAAGTTTTAGTCCTAAATTTACGTTAAAAAATCAACTTACATAAAAATCATAAGCAGATTAAAAGCCATTTTTGTATTTTTATGAAAATAATTAAACAAGCGGGTATATTTATTCAAAATAATTTTAGGCGTGACTTTTATATAGCCAAATCTCTCAGTCTTCAAAAACTATATATCAAATTTCGTTTAGCTACTGACCACTGACCATACCTTTTAAACAAAAGCTAGTTTTCTTGAAACAAGCAAAAATTTTAATTGAAGAAAAAACAGTAGAAAATTAAGGATTTGTCCAATGTCCAACAATAACAACCACACATTTATTTTATTTTTCTTTTATTCCGTCTCAGCTTTTCACGCCGCCGATCGCTAAGAATTCGCTAAAGATTTGGCCTGTTTTTTCAATTTTATTTTCTTCCACTCCACAAATTATTTTTTTATGTTCCGCCCTTTCTTGGCCACAAAATGTTTTTTGTTTGTCTTTAATCCGCTTCTTTTTTTGTTTTTTTTTGTTAAAATTTTTATTTGCCGTTTTGCGGATAAAAAGGAAAACAACCAAAAGAACAACAAGAAAAAGTGACCACAACAAGAACAACAATGAGAAAAGAGAAAACTAAGAAAATTGGGGAAGAAAAAAAATTTTTTTTGATAAAAGAATTGAAAAAAGAACAATTATTAATATTTTTTGTTTTTTACTTTATATTTTTTGTTTATCAAAAATACGTAGAAAATACCCAAGTGTAATGTGATCAGGGTGGTAAAGTAAACACAGTTGGAAGCATTTTAATTTTTGGTGTAGTGGGTTAGTTTTGTGACTGCTGCTGGTAGATGGGAAAGAGGGCTGTGGGTTCGATACCGTTCGTCGACTAATTAATTTATTAATAGAGAAAAGAATTAAAGATTGTAAAAAATAGCTAAATGTGATTTTTAGGTACTTTCCTGTTATCTGCCCACATTTTTATTTTCTTGTTTTCCTTTCTTATTTTTTCTTAATCTGTACATAATGGTCAACCTTTCTTTCTTCTTCAATTTCACTCCGTTCTCCTGTGGCATATTCAAATGCGAGTCAGAGACGAATCCCGTAAACACAAGAATGACACGTGGGGAAATATAAAAACCTAAATTTTACAACCATAGTAATAGTAATTTAATACAGGACCGTAAGTCTAACACAATGTGCTGTGTCTAATCATCATAGAGTAAGGTTCATGACACGACAATTTGGTTCAAAAAAAGTTATTTTTGGTTTTTGTTAGTATTTTCTGACTCGCATTTGAATATGCCACAGGGGAACGGAGTGAACTTGAAGAAGGAAGAAAGGTTGACCATTATGTACAGATTAAGAAAAAATAGAGAGGGGAAAAAAGAAAATAAAAATGTGGGCAGATAACAGGAAAGTACCGATTTTTATATGGGTGTGAGATTTTTTCTGATGAAAATAATTTTAAAAAAGGCGAGAAGTCGGTAAATGGAGGGGGTGTAGGTTCGATACCGCTTGCCAGTTATTTAATTTATTTTTGAGGATAGAAATAAAAAATGGCTAAATTTAATCTTTAGATGGGTGAGAAATTCCTTTCTGATGGAAAATAATTAAAAATTAATTTAGAGAAGAGTCGATTGTAGAGGAAGGAGGGGGTGCAGGTTCGATACCGCTAGTCGATTAATTAATTTATTTTTGAAGAGAAAAATATAAAATGATAAGAAAATGGCTAAATTTAGTTTTTCTGCTTTTTCTGATTTTTTTCTGACCAAAATAATTTTAAAATTAATTTACTTTCACCTTTTTTTAATTTGGGTAATCTCAATAGGTTTTGCAACGCTTCTTTTGCCCATAGAAAGAATTATTAAAACTCAAACCCGAAAAAACACTTGAAAATGAACTCAAAAAAGGAGGGTCCGACAAATAATGCAACAATAAATGGAGACGGAAATAATGCCGAGAAGGAGTTGAGGAAGGAAAATTGCTTAGTAGAACAACTCATTCTCTTTTATGCTTTCAGACAACTTGGCCAATTAAAAATAAACCTAAATTTATTTTTGTTTCTATTTTTGTTCCAACAACTTTTTTTTTGATCATTTCCGTCTTTTTAACACCATTTTTACTTAAAATAAGAGCAATATAAATTTAAGAAACCTTCCTAAAAATAGTCGAACCTTCCTAAAAGATACCCCTTAGGGCTGAAAATTCATGCCTGATAATGAAGGGTATCTTAAATAGAGGGTATTGCTTGATGAGGGGTATTTTATAATGAGAGGCGCCTTAAATAGAGGGTATCGTTTGGGCACTCGCCCACCCTATGACCAACAAAAATTTTAAGACGTATCTTAAATTGAGAGGTTCTAGTATTGGGTGTAACTAGAAACGAGGTTCTGGCACTGGGTGTATCTTAAATTGAGAGGTTCTAGTATTTTGGGAGGTTCGTAAATTTAAAGGTTCTAGTATTGGGTGTATCTAAATACGAGGTTCTGGCAATGGGTGTATTTTAAATTGGGAGGTTCTAGTATTGGGTGTATCTTAAATAGGGAGGTCCTAGTATCAGTGTATCTTAAATTGAGAGGTTTTTGCATTGGGTGTATCTTAAATTGGGAGGTACCCCCTTAAATAGAGGGCACTGGGTGTATCTTAAATTGGGAGGTCCTAGTATTGGGTGTATCTAAAAACGAGGTTCGACTAATAAAAATCACCTCTCGTATATTAAATCACCCTTTGTCCCCCCTCTCTCTCAATTTATTTCCTTCCACCCATCCCAAAAAATAAAATCCACCACCCACCCAATCCGTGCTAGCCACCTGCGCATCCAAATATTTTCACGGCCTCTTACTCTCTAGGCCGGGTGGAAGGGTCATTGAGCAATTGGCAGTGACCGTCACCGATATTTGAACAATCGTTTATAGGACAATCAAAACAATTGAAGAGGGGAAAAAATAATTTTTTTATTTATCCAATTTTTTGACTTTTACTCGATAATTTTACTTAATTTAAAAAAAAAGGGAAAAAAGTAAGAAAAATTTTTTTAATGCTTCCCTTCCTCAATTACCTCATAAATTCCCCCTTACTCTCCCCTAATCGCCTATTATTCCTATTTATTATTCAACGGGTATTGGCTCAACAACAACAATTTTCTTTGTATTCCCGGCACGATATTGTTGATAAAACGGTTAAGGCAGCAGAAACTTTCCTTTCAGCCCAGGATTTGGAAAACATGCCGGAAAGGGAAGTGGACTTGCGAGAACTGGGGATAAGGGTGGAGACGGGTAGGTAGTGAGTAAATTTCCGGAAAATAAAATAAATGTATTAGAAACTTTCCGGAAAATAAATGGTAGATGGAAAATATATTTCCGGAAAATAAAATTCAAGACCTTCCGGAAAATTCTTTAAAAATAAATTTCCGGAGAATATACTATTATAATTCCGAATATATTATAAGAAACTTTCCAGAAAATATAAATTATTGAAAACAGCTAAATTCCCGGAAATGGAATAGATTCCGGAAATAAATCTCCGAAAAATAGATTGCGGAAAAATTTGCGGAAATGGAATATGTTCCGGAAAATATATGTACCGTAAATATCGTAATACGGTGGATATATTTTACCTGGGCTTTTATTTTTCAATATCCGTGGACTTATAATAGGGCATGGGCTTCTACTAGGATATTTACGGTATATTAGATTTTCCGGAAAATAAATATTCTCAAAACTTTCCGGAAAATATAAAATAACTAAAAAAATTTTTAAAAAGACCCAACACTCGGCACACGTAATAGAGGCGATATAGCAGAACTACCGCCTTCTCTCCGTCCCCAATTTGATGCCAACGGACTTGCGCGGAATTCAATAAAACAGCCCTACAGGAGATGGCCTCGGAATGAAATTCCATATGCTTTAAGGTTTTTAAATTTAAAAAAATTTAAATTAATTTTTAAAGTTCCCAATACGGCGCTTATTCTCGTTCAGTTATTGCTAAAGCTATGGATGAAGTAAAAATTTTTAATAAAAAATTTTTTTTCTTTAAAATATAATTTTTAGTATCATTCGAAAACCTGCGTTAGGTAAACTTAAAAATTTTTAATTTTCTAAAGAATTTTTTCTAAATTTGTACCCCTAGATTTGTGCCAAGAGACCTTAGAAGGCATCGAGATTATGTATATATTCACCCAGATGGTAAAAATAAATTAAAGACGAACCTCATTTATAGACGAAACTTTCCGGAAAATATTATGTAAATTAAATAAATTACTTCAAGATATTTCCGGAAATGGAATATATTGTGGGAAATAAAATAAATATTCAAACCATTCCGGAAAATTTGTATAATTTCGGAAAATTAAATATACCGTATTTCCTACAATAGTACTCCCGCGAGTACTATTTTTCAACCTTACTCCAAAGGGGAGTATTATTTAAGGGGGAGTACTATTTCAGAAAATACGGTATATTTTCGGAAAGTATGTATATTATTCCAGAAATGGAAATATTCCGGAAAATAGAATAAACGAAATATTCGAAACTTTTTGGAAATATTTTTAAGGTACTTTTTATGATGGACGCACGATGGGCCGAGATCCTCCCTATTTAAGCTATTTCGCTTTATAAATTTTTTCTACCCCCAAAACGTGTCTAAAAATGAGGTTCGACCGTATAATTGTTTAAAAAATCAGAAATTTTTTTAATAAAGACGGTTGTTATTCCTTGGTTGGCAGAACAGGCGGTAAACAACCGCTAAGTTTGGATAGCGGTTGTATTCAGGCATTAAATTAAACTTAGAAAAATGAAAAAAGTTTAAAAGGTCGGAACTGTTGTGCACGAATTAATGCACGCTGTAGGATTTTTCCACGAACAGTCTAGGCATGACAGGGACCAATACATTCAGGTTAAAACAATTTTGAGAAATTTTCTAAAAGTTAAATATTTGCTAGCCTAGATCCTTTGGTCTAATGTGCTCCGAGGGGCTGATGACCAATTTGAAAAGTATGGCTTTAATACTATTGATCAGGCAAGTTTTAATGAGAATAGTTTCAAGTTACTATAGAAATTTTCCGGAAAATATTCAAAGTTACAAAAATATGTTTCCGGAAATAGAATTTACAAAGTAAATCCGGAAAGAAACTGGTGGAATAAATATAGGTAGTTTTCGGAAGATTCTTCTGTTTCCGGAAAGAATAGTGCTTATGAAGGTTCGGATTCCGGAAAGAGATAATAAATTTCCGGAATGATTCCTGCGTTTCCGGAAAGTAAATACCGGAAAGAAATAAATTCACGGAAATACTAATTTCCGGAAAGAAATAATAACAGACACTAATTCTTCCGGAAAATATACACTATAATTTATATTCAACTTTTTAGCTTGGAGAGCCTTACGATTATGGGAGTAAGCTTTAATAGTCTAACAACTTTTCCCCTATAACTTAAGGTATAATGCATTATGGTGCCTATGCTTTTTCAGCAAACGGAAAGCGTACAATAGTTCCAAGAAGGGCAGGTTCTCATAAAATGGGGCAGAGAATTGCTTTTAGGTCCAAAAAATTTTTTTAATCTTCGAAAAATCTCCAAAAAAAATTTTTTTTAGTGAAATAGATCTTCGAAAAATTAACAAATTATATCAGTGTGACATGCTCAATACTCGTCGGAATAGCCTTAATACAGTATCCAGTAATAGGCCATTAGCGCAGGTTAGAATGAAAATTCGTTTAAAAAATTAGATCGCATTAGCATTGCTTTTAGTAGCTTAAACTGTACTTTTTTTAAATAAACAGAAGCCTTCAACAAATGTACGAGGATTTTGGGTGCCAAAGTGGCGAAGAGGAGGAAGATGAAATTTTAAAAGATAAGGAAGAAGCGGGTCACTTATTTTGCTTTACATCTTATTTTTGTTTTGCTGCCAAGCTAATATATTTTTTTTTGCATTTTTTGCTTTAAATAAAAATATTTAAAAAAAATGAGTAAGGTATTTTCTGTAATAGAGCCCCTTTTCCTATTTTCAACTTTCCCATAAAGAGGATTTATTAGATAGGAGGCATCATCCGACCTCCTAAGAGAGGCTCTCCCATCCTCCTAAGGAGGGCCCGGCCATTCTAATAATAAGGAGGGCCCGGTCATCCTCCTAATGGGGGCTTTATTAAAGAGGAAGAGAGGGAGTTCTAATTCAGAAGGGGGCTTTATTAAAGGGGACCTTCAAAGAGAACTTTATTAAATGGGGCTGTATTTGTCACCCATCCTCCAAAATGGGGGAGTCTATATTAAATAGGGGATCTAATTCAAACTGGAGAAGGGGGCGGGGTGTATTTTTCATCCATCCGACAAGAGAGAGGGCTCTATTCCAGACGGGGGCTTTAATCCAGAAAATACGACAAATTTTATAAAGGAAATGTCATCTTCATTAATTATTGGAGGGGATGAAGCTGACAATGATTGTGAAGATAAAAATTGGCGCTGCATTTTTTGGTTTGAGCAAAACATTTTTAATAAAAAATAAATAAAGGTCCTTGCCAATATTTAAATATTGTGCAAAATGGGAAAAACTTCGAACAGAAATTTGCCCTTTTTCGTGTGGCCAGTGCCCAAAGGCTAAAGCTGAAGAGGAAATTAAGCCTCAAAGTAGAATAACAAAAGAGAAGGAAGAATGCAAAGATGAAAGCCCAGTATGCGAAAACTTAAGCTTGGAACACTGCCCTGGACTTACGGGAATGCTTTTTTGTAAAAGAACTTGTGGAACGTGCGAAGAATAATTTAAAAATGATCTCTGACCTAAATGAGCTTTTTCTAATTTAAATTGTTTTTATTGTAAAACGGAGGTAAACAAAAAATAAAAGGTGCTTCTCCTGCGGACTTTTTCAATTTGCGTAATTTTCTTATCAATTTGCGGACTTTTCCCGATTTGCGGACTTTTCTTATCAATTTACGAACTTTCTCACAATTTACGAACTTTTCCTATCAATATGCGAACTTTACTAGATTTACAGACTTTTTCAAAATTTGCGGACTTCTCTAAATTTGCGGACTTTTCTATGAACTTTACCTAAGAAAATGTGAAAAAATCCGCAGAAAAAGCATCCCTCTCTTTAATAACACGATTAATCTAATAAAATACAAAAAAATTCCTAGAAAATTTTTTTCACCCACAAACAATTTGTTGTTGTTTGTCCATTTCCCCACCTTCAATTTGTTCTTGCTCCGAATCCTTCGTTAATTCCAACATTAATTCTCCATTATTTAACAATTTATTTTGTCGTCTAGCCTCCAAAAGGGCAACTCTTTTATATTTTGGCAACATTTTTATTTCTGTAGGTATTCCTTCCCAATGTCTCCAGCCTTCTTCATGGGTTAATATTGTTTCTACCTTAAATTGGTGGGGTTGGAAAAAAAATTTTTTAAGGAAATAAACTTGTTCTGTCCATGAATAACCACTAGGTGATCCAACAAGAAAATGACGTAATTTTCCTTAAAATAAAAAATTTTTTTAATTTTCAAAAAATTTGAAAAAAATTTTTTTGAAATTTTTTCAAGAAAAATTAAAAAAATTTTAAGATTTTTTTTAAAAATTAAAAAAAATTTTCAAGAAAAAATCGCAAAAAATTTCAAAAAATTTTACAAAAAAACCTTTAGCCAAATCATCCAAATCCTCAAATTCTTCAGTGTCCATAGCTGGAAGTTCTCTTCTTATCACTGAAGTCACCAAAGGTTTGTCCTGATCACAGACCGCAACCCTTTCATTAACAGAGCCTTTAACATAAAAAAATCGTCCATTGTCATCTTCAACGAATGCGTTGCCTTAAAATTGGGATTTTAACCAGAAAATATTTTTAAAAAAACCTTTAGCATCCAAAACTATTCGATCGTGTCTAAGAAGCTTTTCTTCCTCCTCGAGTTGAGATAATGCCTTGTCATAATCTAAAAAATCTAACGATTAGATTTTTCAAGAATATTTTCGAAAATTTTTTCCCAGAAAAGTTGTGAATTCCTTGATTCTCGTAGAAAAATTAAACATTTATTAAATCCTTGGGGAATCCTCCAAGGAGAAGCTCGCAGGAAGAGCCCGTCCCCGTTCCCCAAATTTCCCGCAATACCCTTCCCCCCGCATCCCCTGTTGCACGAAAAAACGGTTTCCGCCGCATAAAATTGAACCCTAATTTTGACATTTCACATTAAAGAAAATAAAATTCTATAAAATAAATATACCAAGCCCAGTTATGACCAAATCAGGAATTGCATCTTCCAACATTAAAGCACTTTTCTCAATTCCTTCAATATTTTCAAGCCCATCAAGCCTTAAAAAGCGTAATTTTGTTAATGAGCGTAATCCAACAAGCCCTTTAAAAATTTAAAAAAAAATTATTAAAAAAAATGAATGCCTTGTAATGTCAAAACAATGAAATGCCAAACCCTCAAACGCTGACGAAATGCCAACATGTTGTTCCAAAAACAGAGGATGTTGTGTTATTTTGTCAACACAAAAACAGATTTACCGCGGATATTCTGATGGAAGAACATCCACCGGTTGTCTTCTTGGCAGTTCGTCCCTTTTTGGAGTTCACAAAAATCTACGAAACACGAAACAAAAAAATTTCGAGCTTCGAGGCTACTTTCATTGCTTGGCATCTCGCCAGCTTTTGGAGGGTTGGCAATACAAAATGTTACTAATAACAAAAAACCTTTCGCAGAAATTCGTTTACAATTACTCAAATCCAGCATTTCCAATGAATTTGAAAACATTCCTCCAATTCGACTCAAAACCCAATCATCCACATACTGACAGTTTTTTAAACTTAGAAGGCGAAGGAATTCCAAGTCGTATAAATTATCAAAACCTTGAGGAAAAAAATTTCGAAAAATTGAAAAATTTTAATCCGCAAAAATTTTGCGGATTTTCCGTAAAATTTTTTGCGGATTTTTCAAAAAAAAATTCTTAATTAAAAAAACCTTCAAACATTAATTCTGTCCCAGATGCATCAATCGCCTCAATATACATTCCATCAACCTTTTTTCCCGGTAATGCATACCTCCTAAGCTTTCCCTCACGTTTATACCAATTTGGATCTTCCATGAATTTAACGGAGCCATTTCTTGAAAAATAATAAAATTTAACGATTTAATTAAAAACGACACTTGCGGACATTCACATTAAATTTGCGGACAATGCGGACTGACATTTGCGGACGAAAAAGTCACATTTGCGGACGAATTTGCGGACAAATATTTGCGGACACCAATTAAACATCTTTCATTTTTCTCTTTAATAAGTTGTACAAATATACTCAAGCGGTAAAAGTTGAACTCCTATAACTTTTCAAAATGGGAGTCAGGGGGAAAAAGCCCAAAACTAACAATAGATTTTCGACCCTGCTCTACACAATGGTGCAAAAAGAAATATAAAATTTTCACATACAGTTCGGGATGTTTCCTTGTAAGGGTTTTGAAGTCAGTTTTCCCGCAGTTCGACGTAATTCCAAAATAGGATGACGCCAAAATGGTATCCCCCCTCCCCACCTCGAAAAGCCGCAGAGGTGCCAAACAACCCCAAAAAGCCGCAGAAATACCAAACGAATAAAATGCCATTTGCTCCAAAGTGAATAAACTTTTTTGTCCGCAAATGTCGGTCCGAAGGCTAAAAAAAACCTGTGAACAATAAAATGAGCAGCAGCCAAATCAGGGCCCAAAAACAATAAACGTTCGGGCAAAAATCTGTAGAAATTGTAGATTAAACTTGAATTCTAGAAAGGTTAACCTCTGATCAAATTGAAGCCGTTGAAAGTGTCTATAGTCCCTACAACGACGAAGATTGTCAAAACTATGGTCAACATATCGCTAAAAATGTAAGGAAAAATTTTAAGAAATCAGGGAAAAGTCCGCAAAAAATCAGAAAAATCCGCAAACAAAATCCGCAAATACAAAAATTAGCAAAAAAATGTCCGCAGAAAAGGTCGAAAATACTCAAAAAAATCCGAAAAAATTGAAAAATCCTCAAAACCCAAAAGTCGCAAAAATCCGCAAAAAGCCCGAAAATATCCTAAAATCCACGAGAAAGTCGATAATACAAAAAAATGTCCGAAAAAAATTTGAAAAATCTTCAAAACCGAAAATCTGCAAAAAAAAAGTCTGCAAAATTTCCTAAACTTACAATTGTTCGAACAAAAAAAGAAATTTAGAATTCTCAAAAAATAAAAAGAAAAACACTTACAAGTTGTTTCATTGCAATATGGTATTGAGTAGGAAAAGTGCCAAGCATCCATTGATCTTGATCTTGAATTGCTTTTTTGGGCATAACTTTAAAAAAGAAAGATTTGAAAAAATATAAAATGATAGATAAATTACCATCTTGAGATCGTTCGGGTGTTAAGTACATCTAAAATTGGAAAATAAAAAATTTTAAAGAAAAAGTCCGCAAAGAATGTCCGCTGAAATAAATCCTCCAAAGAAATCCGAAAAAATAACATCAGCAAGAAAAAATCCGGAAAAAAATCCGCAAAAAATCAGAAAGTCTGCAAAAAAAAATCCGCAAGAAAATACCGTAAAAAATCCGCAAAAGAAAGTCCGAAAAAAAACAAGTCCGCAAAAATCAGAAATCCGCAAAAAATGTCAGTAAAAACGTCCACAAAAAGCCCGAAAAAAATCCATAAAACCCCGCAAAAAAGCCCACAAAAGGAAAGTCCGCAAACCTCAAGGTCGAAAAAGTCAATAAAATCATTATCGAAAAATCCGCAAAAATAAATCCGAAAGTCCGCAAAAGGTCTGCAAACGTAAATGGGAGTCTTATTTTTCTTTTATGGAGGAGAAAAATTTTCTTTAATAAAAGAAGTGAGGGCGACTCAACCGTTCCAAAAGTAGGAAACTTTGAACCCCTATAACTTTTCGAAATGGGGGTCGGAGCCAAAAAAGAAAGTAACTAGTACGTTTTCGATGGTATAATTTTTTGGTATAATTTTGGCACTATATGAAAGGAGGTCGATAATCGTTTTTTTCATTACTTTTTTCATTAACTTTTTTCCTTCCTTGATTATAAATAATGGTCAGTCTTTTCTTTCTCGTTCACTTCCACTCTTTTTACCTGTGGCATATTCAAATAGGACAGACAAAAACACACACGGACAGACAAAACTCGAGTTTTCTGCTCGTCTTCGTCCGTGTTTTGTCTGTCTGTTTCCGTTCGTGTTGGCTCTGCCCGTCTTCGTCCGTGTTGGCTTTGTTCGAGTACGCCCGAGTTCTGTCTGTCTGTGTCCGTCCGTGTTTGTCTGCCCGAGTCGGCACGAAAAGAAAACAGGAGACTTTTTGTCTCTTTCATTTCTTTTGATTATGCCACAGGCAAATATAATGGAATTGAACAAGGAGGAAAATGCTGACCATTCTGTCATATCAAGGAAGGAAAAAAGTAATAGAAAAAAGTTATGAAAAAAACGATTATCGACCTCCTTTCATATAGTGCCATAATTTTTATTTAGAAATTTTTACTGACAGTTCGGAAGGTTCCCTTGTTAGATGAACTTTAAACCCTCCCTAAAAACCCAACAAAAAAAATCCAACTAACCCCATCCATTTTTATATAATTTTCCATTCTATACTTCCATTCAAAATATTCCTTGTTGTGATGCTCAACTTCTTGCCAACGTTTAAATGACCTCCATTGATTGATAAAAAATGTTCTTTTACTACACTGCTTTTGGCGTTTTAAATTACAAATGCATTCAAGCAACAATTTTTTCTCTTTTACTTCTCCAACAAAATTTTTTGAAAAATTTAAAGTGAGCATAAATCCCTAAACCTTTATAAAAAATAAAAAATTTTTATTTTTAAAGAATTCACAAGGCCATTAAAAAGCCAAAAAAAAACCAAAGAAAAATTTTTTAATAAATAAATTTATCGCACAAATTTATAGTTATAAAAATCAACAAAAGTGCTCAAAAGGGTAAATTAAATAAATATACCGTAAATGTTCCAATAAAAGCCCCTATTAGAAGCCAAAATAAAACCCACTGAAAAATAAACCCTCATGGCTTCTATTAGAATATTTAAGGTAAATTAAGGTTGTTTGCAACTGGTTTTAAAATTGAAAATGTTCCCTTTCTTGTCAAAAATTACCCGTTTTTATAAAATTTTAAAAATCGAAAACCGTTCCAAAACCCGAGGGTATCATTCAATAAACAGCCGTCAAAAAAAGGTTCGCAAAAGTCCGCAAAATTTTTGCGGACTTTTGCTAGTTCTTTTGTCGGCAGGCCGAAACTTGCGGACCGACATTTGCGGACCGAAACCTGCGGATCCGACAAATTTCTCAAAACATAGCTCATTCGAAAGAGCTCGACGAGCTGAGTCGAATGACATCAAAATCATCGTGATTGTACAAGCTTGGACAAAGTTACGATAGAAAAACAAACACCTAAACCCTTGGTCCGCAAAAGTCGGACCGCAAGTTTAGCACTACCCTTTTGTCTATCGAAAAATTCTCAAATTTTTTTTGTGAATTTTAGTCGCCAACAATCCTAAAACATTTATAAAAAAATATACTTTAATTCTTTTTAACAATTTGTATAACATCTTCATGGTGCAATTTATGTTGTATTCCAACCCTTTGTGGAGAAAATTTAGTAGAAGTCCCCCAAACAATTGCATAACGAAATGCTTGAGCTAATGTTCTGTGTAAAGCATGGCATGCATGTTCCTTTAAAAAAATTTTATTTAAAAATTAATTAAAAAAAATAAAGACATACAACAGTTGAAGAACCACGCAAAATAATTCCATCTTCTGGGCCTTTAAAAATAAATTTTTTGGTAAAAGTTGTAGGGGAAAGGAGTTTGAGTCAAAATTAAGGGGAAATAATTAAAAACCAAGAGGAATTTAGGCAAAAAATAATCAACAAATAAATCGGCAAAAAAATCCGCAGACAAAGTCCGCAAAAAAGTCCGCAAGAAAAATCAGCGAAAAAAATCCGCAAAATTCTCCGAAAAAATCAGCAAAAAGGGGGAATGACTCAAAAAAGGAAAAAGTCCAGAAATAAAAGAAAATCCGCTAAAAGGAGGAAAAGTCAGCAAAAAATTCAAAAGAAAAGTCCGAAATATCCAAAAAGTCTGAAAAAAGTCCGTACAAAAAGTCTGGTTAAAAAATCCTCAGACAAAGTCGCAAATAAAGTCCGCAAAAAGGGAATGACTCAAAAAAAGGGAAAAGGTCCAGAAATAAGGGAAAATCTGCTAAAAAAAGGAAAAGTCCAAAAAAGTCAAAAGGAAAGTCCGCAAAAAGAAGTCCGCAATAGTATCCGCAAAGAAGATTCCGCAAAAAATACCCACAAGAAGCAACAAAAAATCCGAAAAAAAGTCCGCAAAAAAATACTCACAAGAAGCATCAAAAAAAGTCCTCAAAAAAGAGTCCCGAAAAAATGTCGCTGATAATCCTCAAAAAACCCCCTCAGGCTAAACAAGTGTCTACGAAGAATAAACAAAAAATTTAATAATTACCAAGATCTGGCGGACTTCCAGGCTTTTTAGTATAAATTCTAATTAATGCCAAATATTCCCATATTCTCTTCAACATATAATCCAAATTTAAATTTAATTCGCAGCTAACAACAACATTATGAGGGGAACTTTTAGCTAAAGTATCCATTTCCTCTATACAAATTTGGTCAATTTTGTTGTAAACATATAGACCTAAAACAATTATAATTTTTGGTTAAATTATAAAAAATGTCCGCAGAAAAATCCGCAAAAAAAGTCCGTAAAAATAAGTCCGCAAAAATCTGAAAACGAAATCTTCAAAAAAGTTTGAAAAAAGATCCGCAGAAATAGTCCGCAATAAGAAAAGTCCGCAAAAAATCCGTAAAAATAGTCCGCAAAAAAAAGTCCGCAAGAATTTTGACTAAAAATTTTTAGCTTATTTTAGAGGACTTAACAAAAAAATAACTCAAAACCGAAAACGAAGTCCGACTACTTATACAGAAAAATGATTTTAAAAAAACCTTACATGGAATATAAACTCGGTTGCCTTGTATAACGTCAATTAATTCATCAACCCTTAAAGAAATAAATTTTAGAAACTTTTTAAATAGTACTGTTGCGTTATCCCCACAAACCTCCGTAAATGCTTGTCCGCAAATATTTCTCCTACCTTCTTTCTTTTCTCCTCATAACAATTGAAAAAAATGTTCAAGGTCAGGCAAAAAACTGACATAACGTGGAAAATGACAGAACCTTAGCTCCATTTGCGAACAACCATTTGCGACGTTATGCTAAGTCTACATAAAAAAAACGCGCGCGTTTTCCGCAGGAAATAGTATGGAAAAATAAGAGAGAAAAAACGCTAGCGTTCTTTATGTAGACGTAGCATTAGGGAGTATAATGCGATACTATAGTGCCAAATAATTTTCAAAAATTCCAAAAAAAAGACAAACGTGCTATTCTCTCGAAAGATTATATCCGCATTAAATATTTTGTATTCATGTAAAATTGATTGAATCATTTTTTCATCACAAAAAGTCAGTGGAACTGTGTGGGTGAATTTAACACCTCCTCCAGCCTTTCTTTTAAAATAAATATTTGGACGTTTTTTGTTGAGACGAATACCGACAGCTTCCAATTCTTTTTCGAGAAGTCCTCTCTAAAAAATATATTTTTTGAGTAAAAATTATCAGTTTTGAAGTTGGCACTACTGAAAAAGGATCGAAATTTATGCGGACATTTTTTGCGGACAATTTTGGTTTTGCGGACATTGTCAAATTTTTAAAAGTGTCCACAAAATTAAAATTGTGCAAAAAAGTTTTGCGGACATTTCTAACTTTGCGGACAGTTTTTGCGGATATCTTCAATTTTCAAAGTGTCCGCAAAACCAAAATTTTCCACAAAAGTTTTGCTGACAATTTTTAGTTTTGCGAATACTTTTTACGGCATTTTTTAAATTTTGCGGACAGTTTAAAGTTGAAAACTTCCCCAAGAAACGACAGTCCCGCCTTCGTAGTGTGTTGCTTTTAATTAAATTTAAACCTGAATATCCCCCTTTGTTGCATCCAGCATCATCAAAATTAAATCGGCAGTTTTAGCAACAGCAATAACTTGCCTTCCACGGCCCTTTCCTTGAGAAGCACCTTCAATAATTCCGGGAAGATCGAGTAATTGAATATTTGCGCCGTTATACTTAAAAAGTTTAATTTTTAAAAAGAGTAAAAAAGCCATCTGTGAGAGAACCCAAACTAGTTTTTGAGGATGTATTTATGCAGACACGTAATAATAATGGTCTCAAAATGGTCAGAGCATCCATTCTATCATTTTCTGATTTATTGTAATATATGCGAGGAAGCTTTTGCGGACATTTTTTGCGGATATTTAGAAGAAATATTGGCAACTGGAATGACAAGACCCCAAAAACTGGTTTGGGATACCCCACAAGTAACAGAAAAACAAACCTCAATAACACCAGGAATGCAAGTCAAAGTTGTAAATTCACTTTAATTAAAAAATAATGCTAAAATCGATCAAAATGCACTCACTATGAAGCCGCCACGCTTTCTTAAATTAGAATAGATTATAAAAAATTTAGGAGTTTTAAACCTGTAGTTGTGACGGTTGACAAAAATGTTGACTTTCCAACGGAAGGGAAACCGATAAGTGCTACTAAATTGAAAAATTTTTTAGAAATGCTCTTATGTCCAAGATCATTAAGGGCTTCTCTCCAACATCCTTCCCATTCTCCCAAAATTCAATTTCAATAACCCTATTTCCCTATGGAAGTGGATATGGGGGAAAGGACACTATGTAACCGTGCGGCTTATCCTTAATATATCTCTTCTTCGGCAATCCCGGAGAATTGGGGTCCCTGCGGAAAAAAATCTTAAAAATAAGAAAAAGGATTTTTCTAGGGTAAAAAAATATGCTGATTACGAATCCGAGCTCAGATTTTGAAAAAGTCGAATCCCGAACCCGAACCAAATTTCGAACCCTGAACCCGAATTTCGAATATGCAAATGATAGCTCGTTCGAAAGAGCTCGTCGAGCTGCATCGAATGATACCAAAATCAACGCGATCGGACCTGTTTCGACAAAGTTATGAAATAAAGTAAACCTCTGGGAGTACTGTAAGAGTCGGCGACTTATGTCATAACTTTGTCTAAACTTGATCAATCACTATAATTCTGGTGTCATTCGACTCAGCTCGACGAGCTCTTTCGAATGAGCTATCATTTGTATAAACTTTTTTTTACTACAAAAAATCACCCCTGTGGTTTTTCAATATTTAGGGGTCTGTATCTCGGTTCAATCCGGTCGGATTTCATTGATTTTGGTGTCATACGACTCAGCTAGATGAGTTCTAGATTCTTTTGAAAGACTGGCCATTTTGTACAATGTCCGACAATGTTCAGGGTCAAAAATCCTGTTCGGGGGCAAAAGTCCGAATTCGGGTTCGGGATTCGACTTTTTCAAAATCTGAGCTCGGATTCGTAATCAACATATTTTTTTACCCTAGAAAAATCCTTTTTCTTATTTTTAAGATTTTTTTCCGCAGGGACCCCAATTCTCCGGGATTGCCTCTTCTTCCCCCTAAAATTCACTTCTTTCTTCCTCTTTTGGTTGATGGGATGCCAATAACAAAAATTGGAGGACCTCATGTTAGGAAAAACGACAAAACGTTGGTTAGAACCCGAAATATCCCCCTTTGGTTCCTCACTCTAAAAAACTCAAAGAAAAATAACCTCTAGCATCTCCACTCTTCATAACATCGAAACCTTCTCCTTTGGAACCTCCACCTTTTGCAGAAGGCTCTAACAACTCCTGTCGGTATTTGGCCAATTTTGCTTTGAGAACACCCAAGTGATACTCTAAATAATTAAAAATAGAATCAAAAATTACGAAAATAAACCTGTAGCCTTATTCTTCTGTGTCCGGCCTATTTCACGCTCAATTTCTTGAATTTTTTCTACAATACCCATAGTGCTAATAAATTAAAAATTGCGAAGAAAGCAATTAAATTTCTCTAGAAAAAAGAAAAAATTTTTTCTGGCAATCCTGGATAGTGTTGGCTCGCCCCGCGATCGACTCAGCTCGGCGAGCTCCTTCGAATGACACCTCATTTGTCGAAATCGGTCCAGCCAAAACCCCCCCCCCCTATAAGTCACAACATTCCCGGCTAGTGTTGTCGGTTCCAGGAAAACTCTCGGATATCTCAAATAACCTAGTATACGTCACAATTCGGCGTTTAATTTGATTTTTGAAAAGGGGGCCTTATTGACAAAAAGGGCCTCTGACGAAACTAGTCATTGACGAAACAACCTCTGACGAAAATGTCCTGAGCGTTGGACATGGAATAAAAAAGCGAGAGATTGCAAAATTTAGAGAAAAAAATTTCTCTGATTAAGAGACGAATTGGAAGTTTTTGTTCAATTGGACGGGCTACCCTGCAACTCATCGAATCCTTAACTCATCGAATCCTCAACTCATCGAATCGGCCAAAAACACTCAACTCATCGAATCCTTAACTCATCGAATCCTCAACTCATCGAATCGGCCAAAAACGATCAACTCATCGAATCCTCCCAAAAGGGGACGTTTGAGTCCGTGTGTTTATTTTTTTTAGATTTTTATTGTTTTGTTTATTTTTTTTTGTTTTCTTCTGGGGTTTCAACTAATTTTGTTAATTAGTTGATCGGGCACTCATCCATGTCTATCCGGCCAGTGAAAACATTATCAGATAATGAGAATGTTTTCTCACATTCCTGGTAAATTATGATGGAGATTTTACCGGGTAAAACCGGACCAGATTAGTCCAGTAGACCCCGATTATGCCCAAAAGGCCTTTTTCTTAGCCTCCATACCAGCAAAAAAATTTTTCACCGAAGATTCAGTTAGCCCTTTCGGGAGAAAAATAAACACGGGGACTCAAACGTCCCCTTTTGGGAGGATTCGATGAGTTGATCGTTTTTGGCCGATTCGATGAGTTGAGGATTCGATGAGTTAAGGATTCGATGAGTTGAGTGTTTTTGGCCGATTCGATGAGTTAAGGAATTTTAGCCGATTCGATGAGTTGAGCGTTTTTGGCCGATTCGATGAGTTAAGGATTCGATGAGTTGAGCGGGCACGATTGGACGAACTTGTATTTGATGTTATGTGAAAGAAAAACGTTAGAGATGAATAGAAAAAACGAGACATTTAGAGAAAAAAATTAATTTATATTTTCGGCTTACATATTATGCCAAGACATATTTAGTCAATAAGGCTAAAAATTTGCGTTTTGTCAACATGTAAGTTGTCAAAATGTAAATTTTTAGCCTAATTGACAAAATGTGTTATTGGCAAAATGTGTAAATTAGTTAATTGGGATAAAATGTCATTTTCTTTTGGCTGGGACACGCCCGACTAGTCGCGGGCCAACTAGTCGCGACCGAATAGTCGCGGCCGACTAGTCGCCGGCCGATTAGTCGCGCGGCCAACTAGTCGCCGGCCGATTAGTCGCCAAGCTTTTAAATTAAATATTCATATTTGTGACCGGCAAAATTATTTTTCCGGGCCCGGAAATCGGATTTTGAATTTGAAACTCATGCCGGACCAGATCCTGCCGGATTTTCAGGATCAATCCGGTCCGGTTTTATTCCGGTAAAAATAAATTTCGGAACAATTTTCAGAAAACAATAATAATTTATCATTTCAGCGCCGCGGGCGAAAATTTTTAAACTTATTGTTAGTAGTAACCCCACCCCCTCTGACCCAACTGTCCCATTTGAAAAAATGGGGGTTGGAGGAAAGGGGGTGATTGACAAATGGGGGTTGGAGGAAAGGGGGTGATTGACAAATGGGGGTTGGAGGAAAAGGGGTGATTGAAGAAATGGGAGTTGGGGGAAAGGAGGTGACCTTGGTCACCTCCTTTGAAGTAATTGAGGTACCTGCCTTTCCGTCCCCAAAGAGAATAATGGGAGGTGTGGGAAGGTAATAACTTTGGCAAGCTGTGCGGCAGATGAGGAAAGATCAAGGGGAAAGTTGGCAAGTTTGCCGCTCCCACTTCAAAATCTATCTACTGTTCCGTTTGTCCAACTTGGTGATTTTCTGGTACATGGCGGCAAATCAAAGGCAAACCTAAGGATTTCAAATATTCCCCCGCTAATATATTTCTCTCCTCCCACTTAACACTTATCCCAGTGTGACATAAAGCGGGAAATATTAAATTAACAAGTTGTTTGATTGACATGTGACAAGGTTCAAGTGATAGTAAATTAATTGATAGGTGACGGGTATGCTATGAAAGGTGTACAAGTAACATTTTAGATCTAGCAAAAAATTTATTAAGTAATTTTAAAATAATTAAATTTCTGAAGGAATTGATTTAGAAAGGAAAAAAGAATTGACTACTTGTCTCCCCCAAGGTCATTTGCAGGAAAAATTTAGAAAATAAAGGTTTTACAGTAAAATCTTCATTTTTAATTAACTTATGCATTTTTTATAGATTTAAAAAATTTTCAAAAATTTTAAAATTTCATACTTCAATTTAAGATTAAAAAATTTTCTTAAAAAGTTCAAAGTGAACTATTTAAAACTGGGTGTGAATTCAAAACGCAAATTTCAAAGGTCAATTGGTAGTGATTAGAAATTTAAAAATATTTTAAAGAATAAAAATAAAATTAATAATTAATTTAAGTAATTAATTCAAGACGTATTTTCTATATTCTTTTAACAAAATAATTAAAAATTTTGATCAGTAATTAATTTAAATATATTCGATTTTATAACTACCTAACTTTGTCTAACATTAAAGTTCTATTCATAATTTTACTTAACCTAATTTATTTATATTTATATTATCTTCATCTTATAATCTTATTTATTCTAAATTAAATATGGTCCATTTTCCCTTTGACCCACGGACAGTTGGATACGATGACCATCATGCACCTATTAGTCAAACAGGTGGAGGAGCTGATGAAAATTATTACTATTTTCGTGGACTTAACCCGTATCAACGAGGATATGGGAGACAAGCAGGCGGGGGTGTTGGAGATGTACTTAGGAATTTTTGGCGTTTCCTTTTACCTTATGCAAAACGTGCTGGTACAGCCGTAGCAAAAGAAGCTTTGGATACTGGTGGAAGAATTTTAGAAAGTGTGGGGAATCCAGAATATGGCAAAGAAGATTCTAACCCAAATTTTAAGCAAACAGTTATAAGTGAAGGAAAACGGGGGTTAGACAGATTACTTGAGAAAGGCGGATTGCCAAAACAATTTGGAACCGGATTGCGAGCCAGAGGTAGTATAAAAGGACTTAAAAGAAAAGTTAAACCTCATCCAATATTTTCGAAAGAAAAAGGTCATCAACTCATTATTGGCAAACATCCCTCTGTTACCTCAAAAAAGAAACGTCTAAAAATAGATACATTCGGTCTTTATTAAATAAAAATGTCTACTCATCAGAAAATAGATCGCGATTCTGGCAACGCAATAACAAATGCTTTATCATTTTTCGAAACTCCTCATACGAATGTTAGTATTAGCAACTCATCATTTATTGAATTACTCACACTTAACCCCGTAAATATCACCCCATTTCATTTTAAAATTCATGCAACTACAAATTATATTGATTTAGCCAAAACCTATGTTTTTACTGAACTTAGGATTAAAAAGGAAGATAAAGATGGGAAACTTGTTGATATAGGAAAAGATGATAATGTGGCGACCGTGCAGCTTATAGGCCACACAATTTGGAAAAATTGTCGAATGCATATTAATGGGACACAGGTTTTTGAAGGGAATTCCCTAATGGCATACAAAAGTATTTTCGGCTATGAACTAACTTACCCACAAAGTGTGAAGAACTCTTATCTTTCTGTTGCAGGATATTATGATGATGGGGCTACACAGACATATCCAGGAGTTGATGCGAATGGATATGGAATTAAATCAAGGAAAAAATTATTCTTAGACGAAGATGGAAATCCTCGTAGTGCACAATTTATGGCCAAATTGGATGTTGATATTTGTAATCAACCAAGATATTTAGTGAATCAATGTGAAGTTGATATTGAACTCCTACCCAATGAATCAAGTTTCCTACTTAGTGCTCCCTGGGACACTGCCCCAAAATATCATCTAGAAATTGTGGCTTGCAAATTATATGTAAAGAAGATTGAGTTGATGGATAGTTTAGCTTTTGATATTTCGAAAAAACTAGAAATAAAGCCCGCTCGTTACCCGATAAGAAAAACATCCTTAAAATCCTTATTCATCAGTGAAAATAGAACAGAATTTAATGCTAACATATGGATGGATCAGGTGCCTAGAAGAATTATATTGGGAATGGTTGATAATAAAGATTTTGTAGGACGGCAAAAAACAACGCCTTTTTATTTTCAACATTTTAATTTGAGAGATATTTCCATAACAGCTGGGGGAGTAACTTTTCCAGCAGCCCCTTATTCCCTTGATTTTTCAAAAGGCAACTACGCTAGAATTTATCATGACATGCAAGAGGCAGTAGGGTACGCGGGATCGCTAGAAAGTAACGGTATATCAATGTTTCGGTATGCATATGCAGGATATTGCTTCTTCGTATTTAACCTCACAAATAGTCAGGAAGATAATGGACCAGAAATGTTTGATTTAATAAAGAACGGTACAACAAGTATAAGGATGACCTTCAACGAACCAGTTCCAAGTGGTGGGATTGTACTTGTAGCAATGGGAGAAATCGATTCGCTGCTAATGTTAGATAGGAACAGAACTATTTCCACAGATATTTCAGTATAAATACCCACAATTTTCCTCATTTTTAATCTTTTACTTCATTTTAAAAATGTGTCACATAAATATAAGTAATAAATTTAATTTTGTTTGTATCATTTTATTTTTCATTCCGTATAAATTCACACAGCAATATTATATGTCTAACGAGGATGTAAATCCAGAATATAGAGAAAAATTAAGAGAACGTATAGGCTATTACGCTAATACTA